GAAATTGCGTTAACTTTTGAAATTACAGGACTAAATAAGAAAATGCTCCGATCTCAGGACGAAAATTGCCACGAGGCCAAAGCAACAGGACCAAAAATGTAATTTTTTCTTTATTAAATGTCAATTAAGTTCAAGTCCATATTTAAATACAATTACGTTGACTAAATCTCAACTTCTGTAAAGTGCTAACGACTCAAATGTTGGCTTACCACCGCAGTATTTTGCGATCATTTCTTCAAAACTGAATTAGAAATTATATGTTAAGTAAGTATCTATAAGTGTTTTGTTGTTTGTGCCATTGCAAGCAAAATTGAAAGTTCAAATTGTAATACATAATGAAGATTATTGACATGGTATCATTGTCCGAAATGAAGTTCATGTTCAAACATGAACGACATGTACGATTGTGATGTCACATCAATAATCTTTATTAGGTATTATAATTTGAATGATAAATTGCGGTTACCACAAACAATAGAACACATTTAGTAGATACTTTCTTATCATCTGAATCCTAACTCAATTTTGAAAAAATGAACGCAAAATACTGCGATGGTAAGCCCACATTTGAGTCGTCGGCACTTTACAGAAGTTGAGATTAAGTCAACGTAATTGTATTTAAATATGGACTTGAACTAAATGTGTAATAAAATAAAAAAATATTAATCTCAACTACTGTGGAGTGCCGACGACGCGAAAATGGGCTTATCGTCGCGTTATTTTGCGAGCATTTTTTCAAAATTGAGTTAGAATTTATATGCTAAGTAAGTATCTATAAGTATTTTGTTGTTTGTGCCATTGTAGACGAAATTTAAAGTTCAAATTGTAATACATAATGAATATTATTAACATGGTATCATTGTCTGAAATGAAGTTCATGTTCAAACATTAACGACATGTACGACTGTGATGTCACGTAAATAATCTTTACTAGGTATTATAATTTGAATGATAAAGTGCGGTTGCAATACCACAAGCAATAGAACACATATAGTAGATACTTTCTTATCATTTAAATCCTAACTCAATTTCGTATAAATGCTCGTAAAATAATGCGACGGTACGCCCATTTTCGCGTTTTCGGCAGTCCACAGTAGTTTGAAAAAATAAAAAGGTAAAAAATAAATGTGTAATAAGAATAACAAAGGTGTAAT